TGAGAGTTGAGTTCACTAAACATGCTAGGGAGTTCAGTTTGCCAAACATTCTAGAGAGTTTAGTTCACTAAACAGGCTAGGGAGTGCAATTGACTAAATATGCTAGGGAGTTCAGTTTGCCAAACATTCTAGAGAGTTTAGTTCACTAAACATGCTAGGGAGTACAATTGACTAAATATGCTAGGGAGTTCAGTTTACCAAACATTCTAGAGAGTTTAGTTCACTAAACATGCTAGGGAGTACAATTGACTAAATATGCTAGGGAGTTCAGTTTGCCAAACATTCTAGATAGTTTAGTTCACTAAACATGCTAGGGAGTTCAGTTTACCAAACATTCTAGAGAGTTTCGTTCACTAAACATGCTAGGGAGTACAATTGACTAAATATGCTAGGGAGTTCAGTTTACCAAACATTCTAGAGAGTTTAGTTCACTAAACATGCTAGGGAGTACAATTGACTAAATATGCTAGGGAGTTCAGTTTACCAAACATTCTAGAGAGTTTAGTTCACTAAACATGCTAGGGGGCGCAATTGAGATACAAGTATAGTTGTATTCTTCATTTATGTTTTCTGACTTGTTTGCATTTCCAGGCTTCACTAGTAAAAGAAACTACAAAACGTCTGTTAGAAGCCCAGGAAGATGTTGTTGCTTTGACTATGAAGAAAGACAAAACTCTTGATCGTCTGAAACAGGCAGAAAACGATCTGGAAAAGAAACAAGACCAACTGAAAAACAAGAAATAAGAAAATTCCAATATCAATTGAATCACTTTATGCAAAAACTGTTGTGTATGTAATATCTTAGCAATGGTATCTTTATATTGCTGTAGTAGTTAATTTTTTTTTTATAAGAATGGTCATTCAAGTGGTAGATGTCTAGTATCAATAGTCACTTTATATTTGGCTTGAAAATGGATTCTGATTTCAAAATGACAACCAGCCTCTTTGTGGATTTCAAAATGGCCACCAGCCTCATTTTGTTAAAATGGTTTCCAGCCATTCTCTGGTCTTTATTGTTGAATGCTGTCTAACCAACTGAATACTGTAAAGTTTTATTTTTTTTTCATAGCAACTGTTGCTAATTTGCATAAAGGTTCAACGACACTGTCAGCACCATATCAATGACAGACTAGAGGTTAAGCAAGAAACAGTATCATTTACATAATTAAGCAATATATTTGTACTTTAGATAAAATTTTATTAGTTTTTATAGAAACATAGTGATTATGTCAAGTAAAATGTATAAATTCCATGGATAAATCTAAAATTGACTGTAATTATGGTTTTAATAGTTAGTCATAACAAATACTCAAAAGATAGGAACAAATCCTTTTTCTTTAAGGGACACAAACATGTGTGGAGTTCCACTCAACGAGAATGTGTATACATATCAACCAATTTTACAATGTTCTTCCAATGTAGGAGTACTGTACAGTTTGCCACACAGTCATTGCTGCAATATCGCATTTCAATTATGTCATGTTGATGTCCTTTGTTGATAGCTTTCCACTCCTCACGCTAAAGTATACCATGACACTGATACAAAAATAAGGAATATAACCAAGACATGACATTTTTTTGTAGGATTAAATTGAATTTGTATTACTGTTTATATTTTTTTTTTATAGTTTTAACCGTTATCTGGTCTAGTCAATGTAAAAGTACATAGGGCTGGCTGCATAATGGTTAATATCAGAAATTAGATGCAAATATTTTATATATATTATGACCGTTTCCTGCCCTCAGCATTCAAGATTCAACACTTCGTGTAATTCTGCTGCACCTGTTGCAAATATCATCTTTTATCAGGAGAAAATGGAATAATCCAGGAAACAAAATTAGAAATTTATTATATATTTCATAGAAGTGAAGTTCAACACTGGTTAATATACTGTATATATTTGGATTATGTAAAAGATTTGTGTACAAGTGTTAAGAAGAATCTTTTTAAACCTTCTACATTCCATTTCTGTTCTTCCGTCCTGATCACATCTGTCATTTTTAATTTTGTACCAAAATATTCGTCTGTTTTAAAGTATAGTGTGATGTCTTTCTTGTTTGAAGGTATCTTTGTAGATCGATTTTTATATTTGCATTTCTGTGTAAGTACCATTTTTTTTGAAACATTTTAATTTCATATCCGTGCCAAATTTTACTTTCAAATGCTTTATAGAAAATAATTCGCTGAAATTTTTATGAACCAATCATTGAAGCAGTTTTATCAGAAATGTGGACCATTTCTTGAACCAATCAACATAGCTGTTACATTAGAAGTTTGGATTTGTCAGTGAAACTGTTACATCAAGCTCATAACATCAGCATGACCATCCATTGTTTTAATCTCCACCCATTATCTGAACGTAATTTTTAAAATCTGATTTAATTTCATTGTATGTAAATATCCCAGTAAGTCATTTGTAAAATATTTGATTATTACATCGAGGATTGATCTTCTCTGGAATGTTTGACCTATCAGCTATGTATTTTTATACTTCAATAAAGATATGAATATTTTATAGTAGTTATTGTAATAAGTACCGTAATTTTGTAATGAGTGTTGTTTTGCGTGTGTATATTTGTACAGAACTATAATGATATTATACTAAAAAACTGATTACAACCAGGCGTAAATCACTGAATTTTGTATAAATCGACATGGAATTGAATATGATGACGGATGCAATGATAATTTGATTGTTTTGTGTAAAATAGGAAAATGATGTTACCATAGATACAATTTCAAGGAGATGATAATCTCCACATAGTGTACGTTTTTTTTGGATATTTCTTCTGTTGACAATGACTGACTTGGATAACATCTCAAGAAGATATTGTGGTATCACACTAAATGTTGGTTGTAGATGTGCAAGTCAAGTTCAAATTTTGTACGTCGCATAGGACTATGTCGTGCAGTGCAGTTGAATGACTGCCTCTTTTTAGTCACAGCTTACTCAAGCAGCTGGACAATCCCTGAAAAGTGATTTGGATATATACAATTTATCCAAGTCTTAAATTAAGAATGTGTCTTGGCATTATATTTAGGTCGATATACAGTTTATATCG